AGATTTTATCTTACATACTTTGGATATGTTATGAGGAGATAACAGTCCCTAGAGAAGGATATCATATTTGGTAAAGTGGAGCAGCAGCAATAACGAGGAAGGCCGTCCACAGGATGGACTGACACAGCGGCGGCATCAATAGGCTCAGAGGAACAATTGTAAGGATGGTGCAGGGCCGTGCATGTTTTGTTCTGTTGTGTATAGGGTCTATATGGGTCAGAGCCGATTCGATGGTATATAACACCTCTCCTGCCCCTTCCTACCCCTGAATTTTCTTTTTTTGGCCAAATGCTGTCATTTTGGTCTTGCGTACCTGAATGCTCTAAAGCGCATGTTCCTCACAGGTGATGCTGTTCACTTTATCAGGCTGTCTAGTCAGCTTGTCTTGACTGACACTCCATCACCCTGAGCGTTGACTTTCTGAAAAGTTTTAACTATTTTAAAACAAAAACCCATAAATTCATATTCCTTCCATAAAGTAGTATTTTTACCTGGCTAGCAGCAAAACACTAAAATAATATAATACTCTCAATTCAAAAGCCAACCAATCCTCTGTAGAGACATGAACCAAACCACTGATTTCTGCTATGAAGAAAATTACTGCTTTGTGCAAACTAACTAAATGGTGCACAATACGGGGATGTCTGTCCATCTTTGCAAGAGCTCATAACTTAGGCTCCCACCCAAATGACATACAGTCAGATGTCTTCCATGATAGCCTTTTCAAAAAACATTAACCTCATCCTGCCACACTTCAACTTCTTTATTACTATAATTAACTATCTTCATAGCACACATCACCATCCCAAATTGCCTCTCTCCTCTCTCAAGATGGAGTGACACATAAGAGATGGTTTGATATGGTGGCTACAACAATGGGCTCAAAAATACCAGCTGAGGACGGCACATGAGCAGGTAGTTTTACGAGCTGAAACTGACTTGAGGGCACCTCACAATAACCAATCCTCTGGCAAGTGCAGAGACTACATGAACGCTGAGATGCCTTCTGCCAGGCTTACTTCTAGCACAGGGCAAGAATGGGCATTTGGGTGGTAGACTGAGACGAAAAACCCCAGATCTGCAACCTTCTCACAGACATATTGTACAGAGCCACTTAGGGGTGGCTTGCACTAGTGACACCAAGTCATATACTTTATCTTAATTTTCATTTTTATCATTTTCTGTACAAATGACTAAAGCACTAATTGAGCCACTGCGTAGTCAGTGCTTCCTGCTTTTATTATAAGGTGTCAATTCCTTTCAGGTGAGGCTAGGAACCCAAGAATATAAAATAGACACATTGCAGCTGCTCTTCAATGCCCTGCCTCCCCATAAGCTTCTCCTTATGAGTTAATGAGAGAGCAAGATCCACTGACCACAAGTCTGCCACAGCTCCACCTCTAGGGCCTCTGGAGACACAGCTGTTCGAGGCATATGCCAATATCCCTCCAACTCTGCTACAAGTCCCCCTCACCAGCTCCTCTTTGCAGCTGTTCCCAGTGTCGCTTAACTAAACATTCCTCTCCCCAAATACCCACCCTTTTAAAGGTACGTTGAAGGGGAAGGGCCCCTAGAAAAATAATGAAAACAATTCCAAAGATGCTCAATAAACACTGAATTTTGCCAACATCTCCCTTTGCCACTATTTGAAGGGGCTTCAACATTCTACAGGAAAATTCCAGTATCTGCATTTTCCACAAACTTTTTGATGTCCCTTATATACAAACATCATTGTTTCTTCGGGTAATCTTAAAGTGAGCTGACACGCAGATTTCTTGACTAGTCCTTTTCAGAATTCAGTGTACAGCTGAGTGTACTATGAAATCACAGTTGGAGAGTACAGAGAAATTTTTGAAAGACTAGAAATAGAACACATCATCTGCAAGAAAATAGAGTCCCACTGAGTTATTAAACTGTCACTGTGTCTCACTGTGTGTGAGAGTGCATGTGGTTGTGTGTCTGGGTCAGAACCACAGTAATGGTTCATAGGCTAAAAAGAAACAAATTAATAGAGTAAACCAGGATGTGGAGAAACCGAAGTATAATATCCAACCTCAAAAACTCATCACCATTTAGTCAATTCTGGCTCATAGCAACTCTATGGGACAGAGCAGGGTTGCCCTTCAGATCCTCAAAAGGCTATAAATCTTTACTGAAGCATATTGCCAGTTTTCACTTGCAGAGCAGCTGGTGGGTTCAAACCACCTACCTTTCAGATAGCAGCCAAATACTTAACCACTGCACCACAAGGGCTCCTTGAATTTCACCATAAGCAGTGACAAATGAATCTAATGCATTACAAGTTAATAACATAACTACACTTGAGGTAGGAAGGAAAGAACTAACCTAATTAACAGTTGAAAACACAAGTTTGGCTGGGTATTATCATAAATGCTGCTACCAAAGTAAGATATCCCCCGAAAATAAGACCGACTTACAGTTTTGCCTATCGCTGAAATATAAGGCATCGCCCCCAAAAATAAGACCTCCCTGAAAATAAGGCCCCTGAAACTACTGTAACTCTGGACTCTGGACCATAGCGGTGGGCGCCGCAGCACAGCTCACTGTTGGCCACAATGCAGTCAGAGCAGACAGGAAGTGCGAGGTCTCTTTTAATAGAATAAAACAATAAACAATAAATGTGTACCATATTCTTCTTCATGGAAAAATAAGATACCCCCTGAAAATAAGACCTAGCGCATCTTTCGGAGCAAAAATTAATATAAGACACTGTCTTATTTTCTGAGAAACAGGGTAGCTAAACCAAACTCCTGCCACGGAGTCAATGCTGACTCACAGCTGCCCTCCCCTACAATGGGTTTCCAAGAATGTAACTGTTTATAGGAATAAAAGCACTAGTCTTTTTCCTGCGGAGCTGCTGGTGGGTTCCAACTGCCCACCATGCAGATCACTGTAGTAACCACTACACCACTAGGGCTCCAACTGGCTATTCATATGGGGGTGGGGGGTAATGAAACTGAACCTTTATCTCCATTACACAAAAATCAAGGGCATAAGACATAAAAACAAGGCACAAAAAAGCACTATTCATAAAAGCAAAAGGAAGAAAGATTATGGAGAAAGAGACACAAGGAGAAAGGAAGAGTAAAACCAAAGAGGCTGATGATATTTCCAACCAATATAACCAACAAAGAAGTCAAATAATACAAAAGCCCCTGTAAATTAATGAGAAAAAGACAAACCAGTAGAAAAATGAGCACTTCAAAGAAAGGGAAATACAAAATATGCTAAAGTTATTGGTAACTAGAGAAATACAAACTAAAACTACAGTAAAAAAACATTACATGCCCACAAGAGTGACAACCATGTAAACTTTCTGGAAAAACAACTGTTGGTGACAATACACAGCAACAGCAACTCTCATGCATTCTTAATAGCAACACAAGTTGGTACAGCTACTTCGGAAACTAGCTGGCAACATTACTACGATATGTTACTCTATGACCTAGGAAGTGCACTCCTAGGTCTCTACTTCACATAAATAAATGTATATAAACATGCCCCAAGACACATGAACAGTAACGTTTGGTCCAACCTTGTTTGTAATGGTGCCAGAACGTAGAAACAAACTCAATACTCATCTGCTGTGACATATCCATGAAACGGACTTTCTACACAGCAATGAAAATGAGCAAACCACAGGCACGTACTCAGTGTATCCCAAAAGTACAATGTCAAGAAAAGCAAAGCCCTGAGGAATGTATAGTCTCATTGTGCCAGACTCCCAAAGTTTCTGCATGCACAATACAAGGAAAGATATAAAGATCAGCAAGTGAATTATCACCATGGTTATTAATTGGAGAGGGGGATGGGAAGGGGGCTCAAACTTGCTAGTCATGGTCTATAAACTGGGTGATGGTTCCATAAGAATATTTGCCTCCATTTATTCAATGATGCAGAATTTTTGCATACTTTCTGAATGTGTTTTACAGAAAGTATAAAGATAAAAAAGAAACAAGGGAACCATCATTATCAAAGTATTTGTTACCCCAGTCCCAACAACTGTAAGGTTGCTTAGGGAAGAAAGCTGTTCAGAGGACAACATTCACGAATGACCTGATCAACTGTTCGCCTGCTCAAACTCCAGCTGTTTCAACTCCAGCTGTTTCTCTAAGTGTAAACATGCAAGATATAAATAAAAGGAAAACAATTTGCAAATCCATTCACTCAACAAGCATTTATTCGCCTACCACTCGCCAACCGCTGATCTAAGAAACCAACATGGTCCAAGAATCTAGACCACGGTTCTGCACTCTCATAAAAGATGGAGGACATCAGAACGCTCACCCCATACTAATTTGAACTCTACCTTCTCAGCCCCCTTTCCTGTCTCATTTCACACACTCGAAGAACCAAAAAGAGCTCCGGGGCCCGCATGAAGGTATTTTTAAAAATCACTCCTTTAGGGAATCTTTCCCTGTGACTATCTGCTTGGATTCCATTGGCAGAAGCTGTTTCCCAAGTTTTCAAGTGGGCATAGATGTTGCCCTATGAAGTCACAGAGCAAGTACAATCACAGGTGATGCAGTAGGAAACGGCTTCAAGTGCGGTCCAAGTTTCCAAGCAGCCCCTAAGGTGAAATACCTGGTGATCTGAAAAACCGGTCACCGAAAGCCCTATGGAGCACAGTTCTACTGACACAGGAGATCACCAGGGGTCAAAAATCAACAGGACTGGCAGTTGGTTTCAGCTCCCAAGACACGTTCTCTCGGGGAATCCAGACTTTAGAGACTTGCAGTTTTACGAAATTGAATACTAGATTTTTGTGGATACATGCATTTTTCCCCCCTTGGGTGAAGGTCCAGAGATTTCTCATCTGATTCTCAAATGAGTCCAACCATTAAGAAAAGTGGACAAACGGGCTGGACTCGCCTTTTAGGAGCAGGTAAAGGGCCCACGGCCACAGCTAAGGCATCAATCAGAGTTGAAATGCAGGCGTCCTGACCCCCAGGCCTAGGCTCTGAAGGCCCAGTACTTACTCGCAGCTCTTCGAAGGCTTCGTCTAGCGTGGAGAGCTGGTGGCCCTGATGAGCCCCGATGACCGGACACAGGACACAGATGAGCTGCCTGTCTTCCTGGCAGTAGGTGCTCAGATCCAGCCCGTGGGCGGGGCACTTCCTCTTGGCCACTCTCTCCGCTTCCATTTCGATTTCAGGGTCGAATTCACTCTCGGCCTCGGTTTCTCCCTCGGCCTCGGATTCGCCTTCTTCCAGATTCTCTTCCTCCACCTCGCTCTCTTGCGCCTCCTCCATTTCTTCCTCGCTGCCGTCTTCGCTCTCTTCTTCGCCGCTCTCGTCCTCCGTCTCGCTCTCTGCGGATTGGCTCTGGGCGTCGTCGGCCCGACTGCCATCCCCTGCTTCGCTCTCTACCTCGGGCTCATTCTCCACCTTGGCCTCGCCTTTGTCGGGGCCCCCGCCCGGGGCCCCCGCGGCCCAGGTGCCCGCGCCGTGGATGTAGCGGGCCAGGTGGTGGCTGAAGAACTTGTGCCTGTGCGCGTCGGCGTGGCGGCGGCATTAGCAGAAGCCGCATTCCCCGCACACTTCCTCGGCGCCCGGGGCCTCGTCGGGCTCGCACTCGTCGCACGTGCCGTCGTGCGGCAGCTCCTCCAAGGCCGCGCCCACGCCCGAGGCCATGTGGGGGCTGCGCCGGGGCTGCAGGCCCGGCGCCTTCGGGGCGGCCTCCTCCCCACCGGGGTCCCTCCCCGGGAAACCG